CAGATCACAAAATTACAAGCACACATGGAATAGTGAGGCTAATATATGTGTGTGTATGCGTATGCAAACGAATACATACGCAATTTTATAGTCAAATCGAATCAAGGCGGAGACTAGGCAATGAGAACGGCTATTAATAGTATTCGACCACATATTTATATATGGAAGAGAATGATTCATCGAGCGATATTTAAGCTATCTACATTTAAGTTTAAGAGATATGTGCGTAGGCTGTCATGTGGTCAAGACTGGACGTTTACACAAACATGATGGTGATCACAGTAATACAAAGAAATAGACGAATCGTTGATGTCTGTTAAATAACTTAATAAAAAAGCTTGACGAAAATCAAGCATAATCGACATTAACAGTTGGAGTAATGCTACAGCATATTTAGCTGTTTAATAATGAGTAGAGGTTTTCAATATTTAGGGACCTTGATGTAATGTTTATTAAATATACTCAAAGGATGTAATAATTCAATTCACATTCTGAAGAATATATTTTGTTTTTTCATTAAATTTACATTCCTTAACTTATAACCATCAATATCTCGTAAAGGAAATGATATGGTATAATGTAATTTAAGCTCTTCACTGAGCAATTTCAGCTGAGTGATCTTGTATATACATATTTCATCAAAGTTGATAGCAATCGTCTTTTATATGTACTGGTTCATTTTAATTTAATACCTATCAAACAGTTCCAAAATTCATATTTATTCTGAACAATTTTCAGTGAACACTTCATAGTAGCGAATGACATATTACAGATGAGAATTAAGCTTAATAATTACATTCCTTATCATTTTATCAATTCATAAATGATCTACACAAGTACGTATCCTACAACCTTAAATACGAATGATCAATTGTGATAGTATATAGAAAAATACTTATACTTCCCACTTATTCATTGAAGTACTTCGTCATAATTGTTTGATTCTCATCAAACAACAACACATCAGATATTCATATAATCATAAGATTCTCCTCTGACATGATCAAATGAATAAACAATAATCATGGATCTCATTCAATTCACTTGCATGCTAATCAACTTTGAACAGTTTGCCTAGACTGTTTTATTTTAAATTAATCAATGAATGAACCCATCTGGTAGATATTATTATCATTATTAACCATATAATTTCTATTATCTGAATTATCCAAAGCAAATCCCTAATTTCCAAAATACTTCATTCAGTTATCAACGATTTTTTTCATTTCTAGCAAAGTTACTCTAGCATCAAGCAATTTGATTACTTACTTACTTAAGCCTGTCACCCCTCATGTAGGAGCATAGTCTAATCACAAACATTCTCCACCCAACTTCGTCTTGGGTCCTCGCTTTTCCAATTCTTGCCTTAACGTCTGCATCTGATTTCCCCTGTTTATCAGTGAATCAAGTTGATTAGGGAGTATTACTGAGTAATATTTCAAAACTTTTTACTAGTGATATACTTTCTTAAATGTCGTAGCTTGATTTATCTTGTTATATTTATTTTCCAAAATCATATACTGAGTTGATAAGTTCACAGACACTAATGATATTTTAATGTGAAATATCAACATTAACTAAAACCAGATTCTAGATAAAATTTTTGTTCTTTTTTAGTATGAGTATATTTAAAGATAGGATGGATAGCTAACTCATCAATGTTCATCTTCTGATCCATATTAGTTTTCCAAATATTATCAAAAAGTGTACATATACTTATTTGGTCTTGAAATAGTGGAAAACGTTTGTAGATCAGGTGGACACTTATGAGGATGTTGTGTACTCTTACTTAGATGGTTTATGCACTTAGCTCTTCCTATCATTTTTGATAACGTCAGTGCCTAATTCATTCAGAACAAAGAATTCTATTTATTCCAAAATATTTATATTATTTCTATTTAATGACCTCGTTTGCAGTCAATTATCTTGTATATTTTACTTTCGGGCTTTGTCGGCTGACATCTAGACTCGTATTATTGATTTATCTCTTTGTCTATGTGAATATATTGTGTTATTAGCCAAAAATTTAAATTTTCCACTCATGTCATGTTGTATGAATGAATACTTGTGTTATAAAAAATTAAATCAGTTTTATTGTTCTAACAAACGACTTTTTTTTGCTAAATAGGTATTGGTCGTTACATAACATTTTCTTCATTATGTCGGTGGATGATAGTTACTCACAATCGCGTGGTCTGTTTACAATCATTATTCATGGACAAAACAGATAGCATACATGCTCTAAGAATAATTTTATCAATATTACGTTGCTTCCAGTCAAAATCTGAAATTTGACATAACGAAATGATGCATTTCCTAATGCCTATTAAACAAAGAGATTAATTTTGTTTCGGAAACATTTTTATTTTTCTGAGAAACATATTGACTGAACTAATCTTTGCAATAGATTAGTGGCTTCTATATTAGAGAAAAAGAACAACTACTGAAAATAGGTGAAACTAATTAAAAACGTACAAATTAATATAGAGACATTAACTAGAAAGATATTCGATTCATTTTATTAAGAATAAATCTCAATGAAGTTTCCGTTTCACATAATAGGAGCATTATTTCAGCATTTGTGCCGGTTTTATCTTTGTATCATATTTTACGAACCCATTAACATCAAGTTAATTTTCACACTAGAAAGAGACTGAATATAATAAAGCATAGAGTACTGTTATGCGATTTTATGGTAGTTGGAATCTAGTCAACAGTGTGCGTCAAACAATTGAAATTATTAATTCTATTACTAACAACGAGTTAAAAATCACTCAGAATAAATATGTGAAAACTCTGTCTTGCTTCTTTTCACCATCATTCAGTTTTCAATATCCAGATAGATATCTTATCTGAAAATAGTTAAAACAGATAGATAAAACTTTTCAACCAGAAAATGCACACTCCATGTGCAACAAATTGATTCATTTATGTTCGATAATATTCGATACGTTCAGATCAAATAAATAGGGAATTAAGGAAAGTTTTTTAACTATACTTTTCATTCGCTTATCCTTAATAACAGTTTGACTGTGCTCAGAATCAACTTCATTATACATATCTAAAGAAGTTTATTGAAACAACGTTTATATATTCATACGTATATAACCCAAAATCAATAGATTCACTAACAAATTGATAGCAGTTAAGCAATCAATCAAAAATGGACCAAAAAACACACAGAATACCTCAAACAAAACATTAGGCTTGAGTGTTTTATATCGTAGTAGCAGTAGTAGTCATATACATATATATCAGCCTAATACAAAGCGTTCTGATTATTAATCTGAGACAGACAAACATCACATTTGCATAGCAAAGTGAAAAAAGATGGTGCTTCAGTTAAACCATGTGATAAACAAATAATTATCAGAAGGGGTTTTGTGGAGATTTTAGAAATTTCACTGGTTAAAATCATGAGTCAATTGAAGCTAGGCCACCATGGAAAACCTGAAAGCACTGGACGGCCGTTCCGTCCTGAGGAGTCCTATAATAGGACGAAACAGCCATCCAGTGCTTACAGGTTTTTCATGGTGGTCTAGCTTCAATTGACTCATGATTTCAACCAGTGAAACAAATAATTACTTAAAATAATTAATATGGCCTTTCAGTAAATGTATATCTCAGAACAAGAAATTATAGGAATCTTTAATTTCATTGGTTTTACATAAGACATTCTACTACATACATTGTTAATAATTCATTGATATAGTAGCAGAAATGATGACACAAGATGATGTTTTGTTTTGTTGTGTATTTGCGTAGTAATAAAATAATAAAAAAGGCCCTTTGAGTGGAATTCTTTCTTCTTGGTAGTGAATATATATAAAAGAAAATTAATCAAATAAATCGACTTATCAAACTAACAGAGGATAAATATAAGATTCTCTGGATAGGGCATTTAAATTACTTGCATAGTTTAACTACAGATGTATGGTTACTTCACAAAAGTAGTGTTGATTGATCAACTAAGTTGTAGAAAAATAGGGGGAAAAATAATCTATTACAATGGTAACTGGTCATGCATTACACTGAATGGTTCAATGGTATTCTGAAAATTATTGTGTTATCAACAACTTAAAAGAAATTGTTCATTCATTCTATTTTTGACTAACAGGCTTCATTTGGATGAAAGACAAGTGATTAATAGAAGGATGAATAAAACGTTTTATAGAGAGAACAATTGATCAACATAGAAATATGTTGACATTTTATTCAAGATTGTATCCACTGTACTCCATTAACTGTTGATTTTCATACATTTCCATTCTACAAGTGTAAAAGGATTAAAAATAATACGGAATAAAATTTAGTCTTGATAAAAATCAAATTGTTAAGGATACTATGAAATATTCAATCTGAATAATCATTCCATTCGATTATTAACTGCCTCTAAAGAATTGAGCTATCAATAGTAAATGTTGATGAGACATAACAACTTTGATGCTCTAATGAAACAAAACTTTTATCCCAGTGACGTCGGCGGACCTCACCGTTTGTTACTTGGACTAAGTAAAATATTCATTTATTTAAATGGTGTTAAACTCTTTTATTCAAAACTGCAATTACTGTAAACAATTCTAATGCGATATAAATCGGGAATCATCTAAATTGTAAATGTTTATTTGTTCGTTCTGTGATTCATTCATCCCATTCTTAAACTGTGTTGAGCAAATACATCACATATTTCTGATAACCTTTGTCTTCCCGGTCTTGTGATCCATGTTTTACGAATTTCCATAAAAGGTATAAATTATGAACGTAAGAAAAGTTGTCATTTCACTACATTCGAATTACCCAGAAAAACGACAAACGAATCAGCTTAAAATTAACATTTTATTCATTATAAGGCTCGTTTTTATCAACGGTTCAATGAAGTTGAGACAGACATATTTGTAATTAACGGACACACCGATTGAATAGCAATTTACTGGCTTTTGATTGGTCAGTAATTGTAGTCCAGACACGAATGTCTATCATAGGACCATTGACGTTTTTCACACGGATAAATTTATTTCCATGCTTGTGTAGCTAAACTTATTTCTCGGAACTTTATTCTCATACATCTCCAAGTATTTTAAAGTGGTTAGAGAATGAAAAGTGGCTTGGAATATTTTGCAATCTTTTTGTACATTATGGTGAATATTCTGAATAAACGTAAGTAATTCAGTTTGATTTTGGGATGAGAATGTTCTATATTAAGCTTTGTGTTACATTCCAATCATATGGATTCCAATTGAAGAAGGTGCAATCAAAGTCTTTTCAGTTAGTATTTTATTTCGATCCGGTAGAATAGATACCTTTTTCCTATCTATATTTAATAGGTTGTTTGTTTGATAAGTAAAGACTAAGATTTATGTCGCTTTGGAAGGAAAAATCACCCAAATATATGTACTGTTTGACATTTGAAATTTGTATCTATCACCTAGAAAGAGTAACAATAAACAGTCAATCATTATCAACTTATAATTGAGCAGAAATGTACATGGCTCGACATTACCATGGAATGCTAACACAGTGACTTAGAAAGAACGTGGTGAAGATCATTTGGTTTAAAACAATATGATTTTCAGTATAAGTAGAAAACAGTGTTTTGAAAGATGAACGGGAAATATGGAGTAAATAATATCAAGTAATCCTGAAGCTCAAAATATAGAAAAAGATAAATAACGGATCTATTTGCTCTAACACCGCTGATTTCGAGACATGTCACTTATGATCTTAAATCGTTGATAGAAGCCAACCCTCAGACACTTGAACTTCACCCATCAACATGACTCAGATCAATGCCGAATGAATTCGAATACTGATATCACTTGATTTGCCAGCCTCTTGTTTTCTACTAGCCTGGTCTTACATTAGCCCGCTTTCCATGTCGCAGTAGGTGACAGTTTGAAGTCCCTGATACATCTCCTTATCACCTCAAGCGATGAAGTTTTACAGATATTTAAAACTGATTTGCCAGCTTTATATATATATATATATATATATATATATATATATATATATATATATATATATATATATATATATATATATATATATAAACTTGAGGCGCACATATGACCATAGACTTTTGTTGAAAGGGGGACATCTTGCCTGCACCACAACTTTTGGAAAAAGCTAAGATAGCTTTCTGAATCCACCCATGAATATCGTCAGCTTCCGACCTATCAGGGTTGACGAGATTTCCGAGATAAATGAAGTAGCCGACCTCCTCAACTAGTTCATTTCATGTGATCTATCTCGGTGATAATGTAGCCCAGTCCCGAGGCAACATTTCACATTTAAAGGTAGAGAGATTTGCTTCGAATAGTTTACATTAATACTTAGTGCATTCTGAAGAATGAATATTGTTTACGTTTCCATCAAAATGGGTTTTCGTCATTTGTATACTCTAAGTCGATAATTCATCCTCGTAATAAAAAATCAGTCTGTGAAATGTTAGATGACAAAAGTGTTATTACATTGTGCTGATCACTAAATAAATTCAGTGATAATGGGAATAGTGGCCACTTTCGATACTAATCAATCAAAGTTATCAATCCAAGTGATGGTTAGTGGTAAGCTCTGATTCGGCCAGGAGTGTTTGAGTTACTGCCCGTAAAAAATCTAGCATGGTTTTTGTATACACTTTTCAATGATAAACTAAAGCTGTGGTCATTATATTCGTAAAATATAACACTTAAATACCAGGTTTGAATAAAATGTGACATTTATAAACTAATTGTTTATTTCTAATTATTTGTATCGGTCTTTGAAGTCACTGAACACCGATTCATTTTGCATGATTTGTGTCTGAAAGAACGAAATTGGACGGCTTTTTCATTTGTAAATTAGTTTGTACAAAACTTGAACAAATCAGTATGCTGTCGAATGTATACTTCTGCCTTATTATTATTATTGTCATCAGAGTTTTAACCGGACAAAGGGGACATGTATGTAATAATCAAATAGTCTACAAAATGACGAATATTATCTCCTTAAATTTTTTTAATGAACAGGCAAACACATAGTAGAATTTCATTTATTTACTATTGAACAGTCTTGTGAAACTTGGATTGACTGAGTTCTATGGAAATTTAATGTATTATGATTAATAAATATTAATTCAAAGAAAAACGAATGATAAACAAGAAACACTTGTAGATGTGAACTGTAATGCTTAATCATTTAGTCTAGAACACTGAAAGTTTTATTGTTAATCATTAGACAGTTTGGTTTTGTTTCATATCAAAAACAAAAAAAAAAAACGACAGAAATCTTACCGATCACAAAAAGGAAATAAAGAAAAACGATGTCAAACAATAAAATATAAGTTTCCATGGAGAGTATTGCAATGTATTAAAAGAGATGATTGCTTCAACTTATGAAATATCTTGCTTAAAAAAGTTTGATGGTAACCTTTTTATTGTTTTAATATAAATTTATATAAAAATGAGTGAAATACATTATGAATTTTTTTAAAAAGATTTCATTAATTTAGTCTAAATTATTGGATTTCCAATGGTTGTTTACATTTAACATAGACCAATATCAAGCAGTGCGTTGTTACGAATGTGACTATTGTCCGATAGTAACGAGTGAATCAATATCAACAGACAACAATTGTACATCTTGCGTGGTAAGTTAGGCCATTTAATAAACACCTATTTCTATGTTTAATAAACTACATGAATTTTTGATAAACTAATATTTACATGTCAAATGAAATAACAATTTGTAGTTATTTTTTGTGTAGACTTACTATAATGTATTGTTATCGTAGTTATTACCCTTCTTACAGTTAAAACGATAATTAGATAATCTGCTGTTCCTAACAAATATAGGAAATACATTTATTTAATAATTGTATCGTACGTTATTTCTTCAATTTTGTCGGGGAGTTATTTTGATACGTCTTAATTTATGTTCTTCTTCTTATTAATTTTCAGATGGGTGGTAGTGGTTTTGGAATTCACAGAACATGTATATTTGGTGCTTCGATACCCATTAACTTCCCAAACGAAAATCGAGAGACTTGTTCCACTGAATTGTGTAATGGGAAAACAGTTGATAACACTGCACGTAAGTGATAAAAGGATAATTTCGTTATATTCATTATTAAAAATGCACAAACTATTTTTAAACGAGAAAATATATAAACTAACTTATTATACAAAATATAAATAGATAGAAAAGCTTAAACAGATACAGTTTTAAACTGTATATTAATTCACGCTAATCTAAATAGTGCAATAAAAAGAGGAAGTTTATCGATTGTCACCATTTAGATTATTAACTGCTTTTATTATCCAAAGACAGCTATAGAATGTTTATTTAATTTATTCGTAATTGACAGATTGAATCGCTGGAGATTATTCAAATCTTATCGACTAAATTGGGGATATTAGAATCCGGAATAAAATAGACAAGTTATAAATACTACTGTATAATTCATTTGAAAACGACATACTTCCTCAATTGTTGATTGTTTCATACATCATTTACTATAACAGAAATTGTTGGTTGTTACAAACAATAAAATGTAAAATTACAAACAAGATGTTTATGAGTTTATCCATAAGTACAAGATCTGTATTGTGCCTAAAGATATTTAGCTCCCATTTATTAACACTTCAAATAACTTCAGTTTAATACCTCTCTCTTGAATTAGAGCACAACCGTAAACACCAAGAAATTTTCGAGTATGAAAATTGGTTGCTGAGTGCATTATAGACAGATGTGACTACACATAAGTTTAAGGATCAGTCAGATGTATATTTTAAGCATTTCAAATATATGACAGTATCTGACAAGTGGAAATTTTAGAGATTACCAAAGAAAGTCGATAGATATGGTGCTAAGTGTCAGTAACAGGTTGTAGAGATTGAAATTCATTGAAATCATCAACTACCACCAGTGAAAACATAGAACTACTGAATGAGCGATTCATTTTAGTATGGGACACAACAGTGGGCATCCACAAGCCCCCACATAGGGAGTCGAAACAATCACTTCTGTCTTCGCGTGCGAACTTCCAACCATTGGATTACGACCCAGTGATCTAGGGGTTAAGAGTTCGAGCATGAGTCCGAAGTTGATGGTTTTAATTCTCATATGCGGGGTCGTAGATGCTCACTGTTGAATAGTTCCAAGCTAGGACGAAACAACTGTTCAGTGCTTACAGGTTCTAACAGGATCTAACTTAAATCGATTCATAATCCCAACGACATTAAATATTTCAATGATAAAGTGTGTTTAAATCTTATCATGGAATTTCTCAATCTACCTCTCAAAACGTAAAAATATAACTTCCCATCGTAATTTAATAGGTGATATATATTCATAGCGTTTAAACGCTTCAGAAGCTTAAACTTCATATTTATAAAGTTGACGGAATATCTAAGAAATGCTAACAGGCAGATAAAATAATCATTGATGTGTTAGAGTTATATTACAAAGCCCTTTCTCAAATCTTCGGAAGTTGCTTAATATTTGTTTGAATATCAAGACGTTATGTCCACAAATTCGTGCATAGGTTTTTATGATAGATATTAAACAAAATTTATAGAAGCTTAGTCCATAATAATATCTGAAGAATCTTTGCACATTTATCTTAAAAATTTTTTAAAAAAATACGAAAGTAAAATCTTGTAAAAAATATTTCCATTACCGTATGATTGAAAATGAAATTGATAATATGGTTAATCGCATATTTGGAGGTCATATGAAAAATACCATAATTACTGATTCATTAAATTGATTTAGAAAAAGTTAAAACTCAGGTATTGTATTCACTTATGCCTGTTAGTCTTCGTGAAGTATCATAGGCCGCTCACCAGCAATCTCCATTCAACCCTGTCCTAGGCAACCCTTTCCAGTTGTTATTCATCCTTTTCATTGTACCCACTATTCAAGTAATATCATACTAAATATCTTTTGTATTCACAGCTTCAGATATTCATGTTGAAATTATCCGACATATTTCATTGACTTAGATTATATAGTATAGGATTTTGTTCAACCATCATGTACTTGGAAAGAATTATTTTTAACGCATTCCTATTCAAGTTATAGATTTTTAGGCAGAAACAAATTATTTGATTTCGATGTCTTTACACATATCAAAATTATTTTGATCTAAATAGACTTCGTATTTAACTTTCTCTGGGATAGTCGTAACAGTCTGTGTGTTAATTGGTCTACAAACATATGAACTTATAAAATATTTATCTAAAATTTTATCAAAAAATATTCGGTTATGGTTAATAGATTGAAAGTATTGAAAGTAATGACGTTAAATATCAATCTCACATAGTTCTGTCTTCAGTCAAGAAGTTGTGAAGTACATTTTTTTTAGTTTATTATTTCATTAAAATGTTATTGTTTTAACATTTTTTTAATTCTAAAATTGGTTTTAGAACGTCCACCAGGGCCTATAGGTAAGTAATTTGTTTTCTTTAAGTTATCATGATTATTACAAAAACTGTATGTGATTTTACATTCGATTAAGAACACTTAACTTGTTGCAAAATGAACATACTGAAAAATAAATGATGCAATATTAGTATTTCATATTTGATACATTTTGATGTGATACCTGTAAACCATCATGAATGAACCTCGTTGAGATCATTTAACAGTAACATTAAAATATATGTGTAAACTAAATTGTGAATTTTCATTCTGTTTATAATCAACTAGTGTTATTTCAATCTTGTCTTTATTAACATAGATCTTGTATAATAAATGTGTATTATTTTAACATAGTGTTTTGATTATGTCAAGTCTAGACCCTTACGTCTAGTCTCATGACTTCATTCCATACAAGAGGTAAATGAAAATCGTTCTACAGGACAAATTCTAGTAATTTTCTTTGCATTTCATACAGTCATTTCAAGTTGAATATAAATATCTGACAATATTTATATAAGTTATCCGATGACATGTATATTGACAGTTTTAACTCATTTTTATTATATTGTCATTATATCATGTTGATTTCTTTAATTCAATTCACAGCAAAACCAATCAGTTGCTACACTTGTTTGAACTGTACAAAAACTAACCAAAAGGTTATGAGCGGTTGTGGTGGATGTGTGGTAAGTTCAAACAACCATCGTAATATATTTCATAATGACTTGAGTAAAAGTAAAATTTGATGAATAATTTTCACTTTAAATTATTGAAAGATATTGCATTCACTAAGTTTAAATTCAACAGTTAAATATTAGAATGTATCTAGTAATTCGTCTCAATAGAATTTTATAAATGTAGTCAATTAGAATTGAAAACAACATTGAAATAGTTTTGAAATATAATTTGACTATATCTACTCTCAAAATAACCATTTTTTGGAAAGCAGTTAACCAAACAAACTGAATAGTAATTTTGTATATGACTAAAATTACAACTAAGACAACAATTGAAGTTTTTGATTTTCGTATACTAAATACCATATCAACTGTTCAACGGGTGACTAAGGAAGTAGTTACATTTACTTAATCCGTGGCATTATAAGAAAGAGGCAATGTATTATATATCAAAGATTTTGTGACATAATAATTATTTCACAGTGAAACCTGTATGAAATTTAGTATATTTCCATTGATATGGTACATAATAAACTAAGCGAACTTTCCTAGTATTTTGAATAAGACACAATAATTTGATCAGTATCCAGACAGTACCAGTCTTGGTTAATTGTATTCAAAGCACAACTAAAGTGTTAATTATTATTTATTATCAAGCTGTACAATTATATATATATATATTTGAAAATTTTTTTGTTAGAGTATTAGTTCCGTGAGGACATTATGAACAAGGAATAAAACTGATGATGTAATAGGAAGATTGTAATTCTAGATTGTGTGTTTTACTGGTTGACGAAAAGTAGGCATTTCAAGCAGTATAAATGACATCTTTAATACAGCTAGTCAATAACTTGTGTTTAACACCACAGATTCTCACTTCCTATGAAATATTCTAGATCAGATTTTTGTGATCAGAAATGATCATGAGTTATATTACGTTGTGTGTCGACCATGTTCATCACATTTAACCTAACCGATAGTTGGTAAATCATTATATTGACTTATATGAGATCACCTATATAGTCATTAAAGTTGGGCAAACTCAAATTAAGATCAACAAAATAAAAGAACTTTTACAACTGCTAAACTTTACACTGATTTAGAACATTTTACGATGTCCTAAGATAAATCTGTTGTTGATTTATGCTCATCGAATAAATTATTACAAATCAATGACTTTACTTGTATTGACGAATTAAATTTCGTCCCATTGCACAAGACAATAGCCATCTAAACTCATTAGCAAAGTGTATAACTCGGCGACGTGAGGAATGAACTATACTAGGTTCGAGTCTGGAGGTGAATATCCATGTGACAAGTCCTAAATAGAGAGAAACGTATATTTTGGATTCCACTATTATCCACCATTCATCTTGGTTAAAAACCATTTATTAGTAATATTCTTCAAGTGACGTGTTTGGTGTTTCACCCACTTAAATTAAACGTATCTGAAAATTAATGATTTCTTTTGGCTGAATATTTGGCTTTCATTTATATCTTTAGACAACTCATGGTTCTGGGGTTACTAGTAAATTTTGTGGACCTACATGTGATCAATTGAAATATGCGTATACAGTCGGTTGTTGCTCAACAGATAAATGTAATGGAATGACAAAATTATCTATTCATCGTCATGTTATTGTTGTTCTGTTTGTTTGCATGGGAATCAGTAAATACATTCTCTGAATGACTAAGTCCATAATCTTCACTGATTTATGTAATTGCTTCAAATTTATATATATTTTGGTCATTTTAATTGAAATGTATTGATTATTAAACACCTTAACTTCTTGCATATACATTCACACCACTAATTCATTGCTTTTTGAAATAGTTCACTATGTACTACATTTATCGTAATATTTGTAATAAATTTCTATTTTGAACGTAAATCTACTTGTTCTAGAGAATAACAGTTAGATGAGGTAAATTTCAAGAAAACTAACTTGTAATTGAATATATGATAAGATTCGATCTGCACTAAGAAGGAGCTGACATACATAACATTGTTCACCACACACACGGCCCGGATAGCTCAATGGTAACGTATCTGACTGTGAAGCTGAGTGACACGGGATTGAATCCGTCAGGGGTCATCAGTTCCCACAAGATTACAAGTACACCTTGCTGACGAGTGCCAAGTAGCACGAAATCTAGGTCCAGAGTTTTCTGTTTACTATCTCCAACCACCATTCTAATTAAATATATGTTAAGAGATGATGGTTGGTATGTCGTTATAAACCGTTTATAATAAGAGTTATACGGTCTCCACTGTAGTACATGAGAAGTCACCTTAGTATATCTATTATGGGATAATATTTTTGTAAAGAATTCGTCAGCTGATCTGAAACACTAATTATCATTGCTTGAATACAATGATATTTATTTTCATTTATATGTCAGTTTCTATTTCGTTATAATATTTCCACTTGACTGATCAATATGAAAAATATATTTTCCATATATTTGCCTTTCATTCAATTATTAATAAAGAACCATTCAATAACCCATCTGTTAGTGAGTCTAAGTTATTCAGTTGGATTTAGTTATCAATGTAACTAAAACTCATTCTTCTGCATCTTTTGACATAATTGCTCGAATAGTAAGAGTTTATGACAGTATAAATATTCTAGAGAAAGAACTGACAAGTGTATAAAAACAGAAGTTTTAAAAGTAAGTGAAAGGTTGATACCATAGTTGACGTGGTACTTAAAAATAAACTTGAATACTTGAGTACAGTTTATAGAAACAGTAAAGCATTATAATTATTGACATGAAAAGTTAAGTTTCTTCAAACATTGACTAAACATACGTAACTATTTCAGGCAGTTTTCGAAAACTGTCAGCTTTTGCAAATAACCTCCTGTATATTCAAACCCTTAACTTATAGTGAAATCGCAAATTGAACTCAAAAAGGCCTTATCAATAAAGTTGGTGAATATATAACATTTCACGTAGAATTTAGTTATTTTACTGTAAGAGGCTCAGTCACAAGTATGTAGTAACTCTGGGAAGAGTTAATCAAAATCTTTCGTTGAAGAACGACTATTTTAACGTTACATTTGTTGCCAGTAATGAATATCAACACGCTTCCCATAAGTTGGAGCTTATCAATACAACACACCAAATTATATCACCTGATGGCATGTTTTGCATTACAGACTTTGATACTGGGCATAATACAAAGGCGCAGTTTCAAGGATATATTCATCGAAACGAAGCAGGACGGAATGCGATTAGATTTCAACAGTTTTTTCCAGAGCGCTACGGCGAACCTTGATCCGAAAGTACTTCAACCAGGTAGAAAGTTTGTGTTCAGATAATAGGATTGAGAGAGAATTAGCCGTAGCTGAACGTAGTTTTTGTGATAATAGTTACCCTTAAACATTTAAAACTAAGTATGGGAAGATTGAAATAAAGGAAATCTAGTTTTCTGAAAAGCCTGTCTCTTTTAGCCTTGGCTACAAAAGTGATAAAATGATTTCATATTAAAGCTCAGCTTAGAAAGACTATGTTCATCAGCCAAGTAGATTTCTTTTTACTAAATGAATTACTGATTGCAATGGTCAAACGTAAACGAATTCCCATATTATATTACTTCATTCTGTGGAGAAAGCTCCCGATGAACTCAAGGAAGCTCTGAATGAGCAGAAGACATTCTATCCAATCATCGTTCGGAAGAACACTCTAAAATCTCGAATTGTAGCTTCCTGATTGAACAAATGCTAAAAACTACTGTTGTTGTAATGACGATTTCATTTTTACTAAAAATTATAAATACCCGAGTGTTTTCGTACTATATCTGACAGAGTTAAAAATAAGATTCCTTACCTCTCGTCTTCTGCCTACTAACTTGCAACTTGGACGGTTCAAACGTTCGAGTGCTCAAGTTGTACGCGATATAGCAAAAATTCAACTTCCAGATATCACACTTAATATGCCCACCAATTTATATGTACATAGCAAAGCACATACATTGAATGAATGAATAAATTGAATGACTAGTGTTTGTAGTGCGATTTCTTGTTAATTTAATAATGAATATAAAGACATTCAGTTTACTATGTTTTGTTGAATCGGTCACAGTGGAAGGATCCAAAAGTGTAGTTATAAATCTTTCTTTGCGATCCTGACCACAGATACCAATATCTGTTATGTAACATTTTTTCCATGATATGAATTATAATTTTCTATTTTTCATCCGAGCTGTATTCAGTTGAGCAATTCTATTTTATTTTCAAGTTTCACGTAAACTATAGTATTAATTTCTCATTTCATTTATAGAACTTCTGTTTCTATGCTCTTCTGAACTTTTTCTCCTATAACATTTATATATTCAACCTGTTAATGTACGAACTTTCGAACAAGCGTCTTTATACGTCTACAATTATTGTCTTTTATTAATTGACGTTTCCATATCTAACTAAATTTTAATCTAAACCTCTTTCTCATATAAAGTAGGCACAAATTTTGTTTTGTACATAATTATTCGTTTCTAGATAGTAAGGATATCAATGAATTCATATTGTTCTACTACTAGTCTTATTCTTTCTTTATTCAAAGATTAAAATGTACTCGGACACGGTTAACATCTAACAAACTTGTTGGAATGATGAATACTTTTCTTAATATGAATATTTTTGTAAGATGAATTAGTGTGGGAATTATTTGCATCAAAAATAGAGACAAAATATTGAATAGAGAATGTTGCATGTAAGTTGTTTTAGCTCTTCGGAAACTTCCAGATAGTTCATATCGTTCAACCAATAATCTATCCTAACTATAGCTTCCATAAGTTTAAGCTAAAACAAAAGTGATATTCAGAATGGTTGACAAAATCTAGTCTCATTAGCGTCTTTACTGAAATTATCCGATTTCTGCATCATAAATTACTTTGTGATCAATACAATATAATACACATTTAATAAATTAACCCCTTTGGTTTTGATAATATAAAAACCTGATTTTACTGGGTTTTTTTCCATAAACAGAAAATGTAACCAACGATATTTTTTGTATACATTAATAACTAGCTATTCATTCATACAGTGACTGAAATGATAATACAAAATGATGAATTATTTTGTAGTTGAATAGTATTAGTTGTACTTGATTTGTTTTCATACTTATTGCCATGAAAATTATGATTGCTTCAGATAACGAAATACTGTCCAACAAGAATTTATAATAATAACAATGAAAAACACTATACTACACAATATCAGTGTTCAAGAAATAACAGCTGTTGTTTTTCACAGCATATTCATTCATGAAAATTGACAGAAATCAACGACAAACAGTTTGGTGTTTAAGTATACATTTTCAAAAAAAACATATCAAAACAATAATGAACATGTTGATAATAAGTAACATTTATTGACCAGCGATCAGTGGAGTTCAACCGGATTTGTAGTGAGATAATAACTCACTGAAGACAATGGTGGGTGTGTTGCTCAATTTCGTGGATTAGTTGAAGTTAGACATTAACACCGCCAAATCAGTGATTTAGAGGCTAAGCGTTCGCGCGAGACTGATAGCTCCTGGATTCGAATCTCGTGAGGCGAGATCGTGGATGCGTACTGCTGAGGAGTCCGATGCTAGGATGAAACGGCCATCCAGTGCTTCCAGGTTTTCCATGATGGTCTAGCTTCGATTGACTCATGATCTCAACTACTGAAATTTATTGAATAGTAATATTTCCTTTATGTAGTATATAATCCAAGAACACAGATCAAATAAATTTATTTGTCAAGCTAACAAACAATAAATATATGTTTATACATTTATATTACTTAGATTGTTTAACTACATATATGTGGTTACTTCACAAAAGTAGGGTTGATTGATCAGAAAAGTGTAGGAAAATAGGGGGAAAAATAATCTTTTACAATGGTAACTGGTCGTGCATTACACTGAATGGTTCAATGGTATTCTGAAAATTATTTTGTTATTAACGACTCAGTAGAAATTGTTCATTCATTTCATTTTTGACTAACAGGCTTCATTTGGATGAAAGACAAGTAATTAATAGAAAGATGAATAAAACGTCTTATAGAGAAAACAATTGATCAACATAGAAATATGTTGACATTTTATTCAAGATTGTATCCACTGAACTTCATTAACTGTCGGTTTGCTAATATGTTCATTCTGAATGTGTAGTAGTAGTGAATTCACTGAATACAAATTGATATATTAACTTAATATGTTATGAATAAAGTGTAATCTTTGACGAAAATCAACTCAATTACTACACCGTTGTAGGCTCTTCCTGAACAATGAGTTCATTAATAAGTTGATTGGTTCCAACAATTCAAACCACTAGAAAGAGATCAGGAGGGATATTGTAACATTGATACCCAAATATCATTACCATATACACCTTCAAGTTATTCGATGTCAGTAGACGCCAAAACGTTTCATTTCCACCATCTACATTATCCATTTGTTTTAACGAGCTTTAATCCCATTGTCTTATTTGTGAAAGATCCTATAAAGCATGATAAAATAAATTTATTGGTTTGTTAACATTAATCTACATATGTTATCAAATTAAATGATGATTATAATACAATAATTTCTTGTGGTGTTTGAATTAACTAATGATTTCTTTGTACTTGTTAAATGCTCGATTTCAAATTCTAAATACAATACATCCGTTCGTGCTTGTGTCGTAATTCTTTATTCAGTTGTGTTAATTCTGTGATCCAAATACTGTAATTCAAGTACTTTCAAATATTATATTGGCGTCACGATGGAGCCTGCGATGGAAAAGTTATATATTTATTCAACTTATGAAGCTTTTGAGAATTATTTTGAAAGGTTAGAAATCTGGACTATGACCAAGGAAGATGCTGAGGATGTTAATATTGTGGCACATTTCCTCACATTCATCTGTAAAGAAGCATATAGCTTATTAAGAACTCTGGCTATGACGGAAAAGCCTATCTCGCTTCCTTAAACAACTCTCAAGGAACTGCTGCCAGACTGTGTTAAGTATACAAATTTCGAACGCAATAAAGGAAGATTTTGTAAAGTGATTCATGAGGATATAAAAAATTCCACTATTTTACTACGTCATCCCGACCCAGTGCATACCCAACGCCATGCAGATAATTCATTGAGGAGTTGCAATGCATTTCACGAGGATGGGCACAAGTTTGGCAAATTTTTGTCCTGTGGCAAGTTCCACTCTTTTAATTCATGTAAATTTCGTAATTCTAAGTGCTTTAAATTTGGTGAAATTGAACATATTCAGTCAGTTTGTAATACTAATGTTCATCGTACTGCAACTAATTTTAAGTTTTGTAATTCTGATTCTACTGAGTCGCGTATTTATAATGATCATTTATCTTTATCAACGATTTTAAAAGACAGTGTAGAGTCATATAGCAGCTCGGAGTTAAATGAAACTCAGAATCCTTGTGAGACAATGGTTTCTAATCAATCAATTTGTCAGAATTCTGATGTTATTGTACCAGGTATGACTTTTCCTAATGATTCACATATTTCTGATGAAATTCCTTGCAAATCTGAAGAAAATATGTTGAGTGAACATAATGATGATCAAAAACCTGATGCAACTTTGATGGATGCTGATTTTTCTAATGATCCTTTGTTCTGCAATGACATTCCTAATAAATTCGAGGAAACTATTTCAAAAGAGTCAAAGCTTGATGTCATACCAAATATTATTTGTCCTCATAATGCATTTGTTTCTTGTGGGAAACTTGTTCAATGCGAAGCACAAGTACTAAATGAGCTCGATTTTTATTACAATTCAGATGATTTCATATCAACTGCTGTTCATCCTTATCACAAATTCACTTCCAATGTATACTCTAATCAATGTGAGAAATATGTTTTAAATGAAGCCACATTATTCATAACTTGGGGATATAAAGATCCAACATTATTTCGTGGGGGAGGATAGTGTTGAAAAATCTATGGTTCAAATTCTAGATATTAATGATTTCAGTACAAAAGCAACATGCTGGTTGTATACAATTCCAGGTAAGTCTGTTCCGATTTCAGATGTTAATTCTAATACTAATGAGTGTATTCTGGATAATACAGAGTTTTTATCCAATACAATGTCGGACAGACTCAGGATGAACTTAAGAAGAAGACGTACAACCTATTACAGACATTTATATTCCAATTTAAGATGTGGCGGATGTGGTGTTTGAATTAACTAATGATTTCTTTGTACTTGTTAAATGCTCGATTTCGAATTTTAAATACAATACACTCGTTCGTGCTTGTGTCGTAATTCCTTATTCAGTTGCGTTAATTCTGTGATTCCTAGTTCATACGATAATTCAAATTCGTTTCAAACATTTTATTTCTTTTCTTCAGTTATATACAATAAACCAATTATTAATCCATAAAACAATCATTCGTATACATCACTGTTCCTTGATACTTTTTAAACTTGTAAACACTGTTTTAATTCAAGCTACTAAATATTGCAAGGTGACAAATTTTAATTACTTTTTTTTGATGAAAAAATTCGGTAAATTTATCACAGCTCAAAACATTTTCTAAATTTTCCTTTACATCTAGTTGAGTGAGACATACTATAACAATATTGTCTAATACTTGATTCATTTAACAGTGCTTCTATAGTTTCAGTTAAGTCCCACCGAAGTGTGATTAATAGACAAATTTTAATAGCTGACTTCTGATATTCTAGTTATTAATTGGGTAATTCATGTGCGTAGATTATGAAGGTGCATATTTATTGATGGATTGTAGCAAGGTTTGAAATGCATTTATATATATATATATATATATATATATATATATATATATATATATACGCTAATTCCGAATATTTGTGCGTCTCAAGTTTCCTGAATGATGGGTGAACGTTTAAAGTATATTGGAATCTCGATATATTTCTTATTCAATATACTCGATAGACGTAAGTAATTCGATTCACATTTTGTAGCATACATTTGAGTTGCCTGTAAGTGAATAATATTTAAACTTAAAATTTATATGATTTGAAGAGGAAATGATGTTATCTCACGATCCTGAAGTATTACTTTGAGTACTTTCAAATCCTAAATATTCTCTGCTAATAATCAATTTCCTTCAGATAAAATTATAATCTACAGCCCAAATGCATGTTTCTGAGAAAATTGGAATTATAAGATTTCGTTGTAATCTTGCATATATATAAGACCCTGTTGGCAATGAAATATTCATGGACTCGTGTACAATAAAATTCATTCACTTTTAAGAAACACAGCGTATAAAAATGTGATCACATAGGGCATTTCATCTTAATTTGTTACAAATTAATTTCGGTAGATTATCTCTACTTAAATGGTTTCAGTAAATCCATATTTTAAGTGAAAAGCAGTTTACTGTCATCAGTTGAATAAATGTGTATAGTTCTTGTTTTGCATGTAGCAGTGTCAAATATTCTAAAACTTTAACTAGAATGTTACACGTTTTTTCAGAAGCATTTGGATTTATTGTTTAAAATTAATGATGTACATAGTAATGAACCAACTCATTCTCATAGTTGAACTGTTTTCACTAATGGCTCAAATTTCTTATGACAATCCAGTGACACTTAAATAATTTCTCTGTTTTATGAAAGATTTCTTTAATTAACGACTCTATCGTCTGTAAAATATCTATTTGAATATAAATGCTAATTTGTTTATTATGAATAATTAAGAACAGTATTTGTTTACTATGAAAATAAGCATAAAACATTCAAAGTCAAGTTAAAACGAGTAGCAATCGCCCAATACAGATAGAAAGTTATTGATACTCAAAAATCTATCAAGATCTATCTAAAATTCATAGGGATGCTGGATGATCAATTGTGATAGTATATAGAAAACTACTTTCACTGCCCACTTATTCATTGAAGTACTTCGTCACAATTGTTTGAATCTCATCAAACAACAACACATCAGATATTCATATAATCATAAGATTCTCCTCTGAAATGATCAAATGAATAAACAATAATCATGGATTTCATTCAATTCACTTGCATACTAATCAACTTTGAACAGTTTGCCTAGACTGTTTTATTTTAAATTAATCAATGAATGAATTAATGAATGAACCCCTTCATCACCCATCTGACAGCTTATTTAGTTCTATTCTTTAACAACAAAATACATTGTTTTCTTCTTACGAAATTTGTGAATCAGAAGAATCAATCTCAGCATTCAATACATTTTCGAATAGATGAAATGTGAATTGATTAATTGATTGTGTTGAGTTGAGGATGAATATTTTCTGAAAATGTCGTGGTGGTTTTTATCTTGTCTGATCCCAGTGATGATTAAGACAATCATATTACCTATTGAACTGATGAGTATTTTACTGATTTTAAAATAAAAATATTCTACATACTACATATCTCTACTTACTTTGTTTTGTACAGATCAAATTCAATCAATTAAATGTCATGTGTGTGATTACTGCCCCATAGTAACGAATAAGTCAATATCAAATGAGAACTGTACTTCATGTGCAGTGAGTTAAAGTTCGAAATAAATATATCTGCATAATTATATTTGCATATTTATTTTCATGATTTACCATTTAGATTACTAGTTTAATACACACGATAAGCTAGTTTGACTCGACATTCAGTTTGATATTTAAAGCCGTTTTTTCTTTATATTGAACAGGGTTATAAAGTGTCTAAAACATTTTCAATAACCATATCTCTAAAGTCTCCTACAAGTCTACGCAATATACTCAATCTTAGGCTATACAAATTAGTGAAAAGGTTGTGGTATTAATATGTTAGCGATAAACCTCTTAAGTATGAGATTGATAAGTTCTTTTAAGAATTTCAGAAGGAATCAGTATGTCATCAAAACTAAAAAATTACACTTTAAAATTCATAGTTTCCAAAAAACTCAAATTCTATATCGTCTACATGTTATTATTCATATTCGGTATTTCTCCTCATTCCTTATTGTAGGAATAGTTTCACTGAAATCTGGATTTACATACGAATCGTGCTCAAATGTTTGAAAGTGTTAGAATATTACACCTAATCATCAAATACGTATTAATTGTATTTATATTCAGATTATAGTTGAACTGAATGTAATAACGACCTACGACGTTTGCTTATGTGTTAGGGATATCGTATGGTCAAAGCTAATTTCATTTCTATGATTATATTTTGAATACATTGTCATTGCTTATCAACTTCCTTATTAAATGATCAAATTGAAATACTATACGGTACTGTGAGTTCAAAATGTGTACAGGCTGACGTATTTATTTTAGTTACATTAGGTCCATTAAATTATCTGTAGGATAGTTTACATCACTTTAATAAGTATATCTTTGTAAATGAATCATAGGTTGCCGGTGAAAATTATTCAGTACACAGAATATGTTTGCGTAATAATACGATTCCCACAAACTTTCCAAAGGAGAATCTGAATGTGTGCCAATCGGATCTGTGTAATAATCGAATAATTGGCGATCATCTAAGTAAGTAGAAAATAATAAATATTGTCAACATAAATTTCATCGTGAAATAATTCGTTTCTATTGATCCCGTATTTACTATACCTAGCAAATTATTGCATGTAAGTATCCACTAATTGACGATTTTATTCTGTTCATTATTTGTTTAAATGACTGATTATTGAACAGATCAACTGTTAAAATGTATAGATTTGTATTTCAGTTTTAAAAATCTGTACGAATGAACTTATTCAATTACCTATAGTTTTAAATAGAAAAGTCAAACATGATATCCATTTATGATCTTATGCTATGCTAAATACTGATTAAACTTAAAGATATGGATAATACACTTTAATGACTGACTATGATAACCAATATTCTTAGTGTGGATCAATGTGGAGAGGAAAACATAAAGAAAAACTCATTAATATTTACCTGGTGTTGTTTAATTGTACCTTTCAAAGCTAAGTGGATAACGTGACGGAGTTTGAAGCGAACGGTACTGGGTTTGAGTCGTAGAGTGAACATCAACTCAAATGCGGGTACATCTAGCTGACGACCCCCAAATAGGACGAAACGCGCGTCCTGGATTCCATTGAGAGCCAATATACATCTTTGCTTATAAAAACTTATTAAGTTTATTTACTTCAGCGATTCCCTATGAGTTTAAAAATAAGTATTTCCACATTTCTACCTTCAGTGACAGGATCAAATAATTTTTTCTTTCAAAACACGTTTCCAGTGTTTGATGTGATACAGTTTTCTTGATTCTAAAGAAAAACTCAACATTTAACCTCCGATACGGAGTCATAAAGTTTATAGTTTAGAAATTTACAAATAAAATAATTCAATATTTGGCAAAGCACCTCAAATATTCTAATTAAATTAAATGCCAGATAATACGGCTTCAAAACCAATTAGTGTCAAATGATCCGATCAACGTGGGAGGTAGAAAACGATGTTCATCGATAGCGAAGCATATAATTGAAACGGGGCACAAAATTGACATTAATACAGCTTTTAAAACGTTGTACAGAAATTGTCAAAAACGAACTCTCAAGTTTATTGAAGCCTTGGCTATTTGTAAATTTAAACCCTCTTGATGTGTACAAAAACAAACCTTGAATTTACCCTGGTAATCCTTAAGACATTCTGTGGCCTAGGATAATGCGAACAATTTCTTATTCTTTTTATACGATGTTAAATTGTTTCTTTCCCCTTTGTTATTTTTTACTTGAACTTTCATTTAATTGACCTTTATTAATTTTCATTTAAATTGACCTGACAAGTATATGTGTGACCAGATTGTTCGAAATGTATGAAGCAAATACATCACATTCTTTCAGATCAACTCCGTCTTCTCATTGTTCTATCGAAATTTATAAAAGGGACTAATTGTTTTAATATGGTTTAGTTTATTTCAAAGAACATTTATATATATATTGTTATTTGTTTGACTAGTACACTGTAATTTTAATAAAAAATTTTCTTCCTTTTCCATTTTTACTTAATTTAGAAAACCAGACAAATCTTCTAAGTAAGTGATCCCAATTATTTCCCATTCACAAATGTTTGCATTATATGTATTGTTGTATTTAGAAAACAAATAATAGTTGATGTCGATAGTTTATACTGAAGTAAAAAAGGTATAATAAACCACAGAAAAAACCACCACAGACTACTAATACCGAAATCATAGCAAAATTAGCACATTTTGAAATAAAAACGGGAAACAAGTGGTGACAATTCAAATGTACACATAAAAAGATTTGATATTTATCATTTCTAACAGTAATTTATACTTTCAAAACGTACCTGAAATTCAATGTTTAAACTAAAATATTGGCGGGTAATAAGTAGCGATTTGTTTCTTATTTTAAATTTGTATCGTTCGAAATATATTTTTTTTGTATGTTTACTTTGAAACAATAACATTGACTATTTCTGGGTAGTATTTTCCAACTGAAGTTTGTGTTGATGTTGTCGTTCAGAATGACGACGAGAGCTCCACGACCAAAACCATACAGTTCAGAGAACAAAATTCCGTCAAAATTATGTTTTTATATTCTCAGGTTTTTTTCGGATGCTTATTACATTATATCTATTGTAAAGATTCTTTAATTTCTTTAATTTGGTTTTACAGATAATTCAGTAAGTTGTCATACTTGTCTTGAATGTGATAATATTACTATCTACATGATTATAGAGGGTTATGGAGGGTGTGTAGTAAGTTCAAGTAATGATTTACAACTCAATTCATTTTGAGTTATGTTAATTTAAAATCAAATTTATCAAAATTTATCTGCTGTCATATTATTAATGAACATCAGTAGTATATTTCTTGTTTAAAGAAAACTAAATCTGATGATTTCATTTTTATATTGGTTGAGTCTTCTTATTGATATTTAGAACTGAAATTGATTAGTCTCATACTGACATATTTGCATCCTATGCGGATTGCCTCGATATTGGTTAAAGTTACAAACATTATAAGCATTATAAACTAGTCGTCATCCATTTCTGCTAATAAATCTGATCATGTCTATTTATGGTATATTTATAGGTTATAAATCTACAATGTTCCAAATAAATAAGTAGAAATTATGAACGTGCAAATGAATATATTTCTAACTGGAGTGAATTGTGAGAGCAATGCCAATAAAATACTGATCTTTTTTCTTTCTGTAAATGTTTTCAAAAATGTACAAATATTTACTTATTTTCAGAGAAGAGTTTCATGGATATTCTAGTAATTTAATAGTTGAATTCATGAGTCAATTGAAGTTAGACCACCATGGTAAACCTGGAAGCACTAGACGGACTGTTCATCCTAGTATGGGACTTCATACAAAAAAATGTACATTTTAGATATTGCACGAATGACTAGTAATTTTTTTGACAAAGTAATTTATTTATAGTAAAACCCGCCTGGAACCTCTCTGAGGTTACTGCTGATCTCAAGCCCGGATAAAAGAGGAGGTTTGGGCATGAAGTTAGTGATCCCATCCCGTAGAAAATTAATTCGCTAAAGAAACGCTAACCAGAAATCAGCAGTTATTTTAAAAATAATGATTATAAAGAAAAAAATAAATAACATATAATTCATTGTCTACTATCATCTAAATTGAATGAATTAAATTCTATTTTTCACTAAATTATTCTCATCGAATAAATTAATTACACAATCATTTATTGTTGATAACTGTGTACAACGTTTCATATACCTATGTCAAGTTTTAATTTAATCATTTATTTCGATTGAATATTTAATTTTGATTTACATCTTCAGACAACTCATGGTTCTGGAGTTACTAGTAAACTTTGTGGACCTACATGTGATCAATTGAAATATGCGTATACAGTCGGTTGTTGCTCAACAGATAAATGTAATGGAATGACAAAATTATCTATTCATCGTCATGTTATTGTTGTTCTGTTTGTTTGCATGGGAATCAGTAAATACATTCTCTGAATGACTAAGTCCATAATCTTCACTGATTTATGTAATTGCTTCAAATTTATATATGTTTTGGTCATTTTAATTGAAATGTATTCATTATTAAACACCTTAACTTCTTGCATATAGATCTACACCATTAATTTATTGCTTTTTTGAAATAGTTCACTATGTATTGCATCATTTTGGTGTATTTATGTTCTTTAACAATAAATTTCTAGTTTGAATATAAACGTTTTTTCCTAAAACATAATCATAAACCACAGGAATGTTAATTCAGATACGAATATATATGCTAAATCTTTCTAAAAAGCTTCCACGGTGTAGTGGTTTACAGTTGGCCCACAACTTTTCCGAGTTCAAGAATGATCAGGCCATTCTAATACAAACAGTTCTATGGCAGTCACGATAACAATAGCTGCGATCCTATACTTTAACAGTTAACACATGAAGAGTACGCAATTTATGAATAACTAAGATTTAAAGCAGAATGATGTGACATGGTACATCTCTGTATATATGGAAACAAAAGCAGAACCTTCAAGCATACAAAAATTTACTGATCAGCAAAGGTCAGGAGTCATGCGGAAAATTAGATTTGCTTAAAAGCTCTCGCGGTTTAATCTGCCCATAATTTCAATGTAACAAACCTGTAAGTACTTAATAATATACTGTAACGTTGGTAGTCAGATTTGAAGATATTCAGTAATTTCGACAGCTGACAAATTAATGTGTAAAGGTATATTGTTCAAATCATTTATTTATTTAATTTCTAACATGATGTTCTATGGCAAATTCATTCAGTCTGAAAATAGTGCTTATGAACAATAGAAAGTGAATAATGTAGAAAGTTCAGTGTATGGTTCTTATGTTTTACCAAGATACTCTATAATTTTGTCATAAATTACATTGTCTGTTCACACCTGCATTTTCTTTCACGACATTTGGTGTCGCTGCCAAAAGGGAGCCGGGGAAGGTGAAGTTCTTCGGACATTGTTGCTGCGCCGAGAGAGAAGGCACTTGTTAGAGCGCTCTAGTGTGGGAATGGTACATTGAGTGGAGTGCTCTAACAGGGCGGCCTTGGCTGTAGCAGTTGGTGTCGACGGATAGCAGCAGCAGGATATGCGACTGCTTGGGGGACATCGAATGTAGATGGCTCGGAAGGCCTCTGGAGCGCAGGTCCCAAGTGTCCTAGGGGCTGGGTAGAAATTGGATTTTGTTGGTTCGACACGTCGATGGAGCTACGAAGGTCAGCGCGCCACAGACTCAACATTTTGACGGAGAGCGTGGCGCAGACTTCATAAAAAAATAAAGTGGCACGCCGAGCAGAAAAACCGCAAGAGAGGCCCTTTTAAGGGGGCACGAGTGTGATGAATGCCATTTACGTAGGCAGATATAAGTAGTATGTAACATCATTTGGTAGTGGAAAATCTGGCAGCAGAAGGTTAAGAAGATCGAGTTGAAGAGAGTAGAAGGGAAAATACAAAAGAATTGTAAACTTGAAGAGTCATACAGAATGTTAAAAACAAACTGTGGAAATTTGCAAATAAGTATTTAATGTATGGTCCTTATATTTTACCAAGATACTGTAATTTTATAATAAAACAAATCGGTTGTCACCATCCCTGTTCTCATTCACAACAAAAATTAACAATGTCTTTATTTAAGTTTAGTTTCATCACTTAACTCCGCCTGGAGCCCCTCTGGGTCCAAGCCCGGAAAAATGGGGAGGGTCGGGCATGGGATTAGCGACCCCATCCCGTAGAAAACTAACTCGCTAAGAAAAACGCTCACTAGTTTCAAAACTTGTCGAACTTGTATATCGTTTATTTCAGTTGACCAAAGTATAATTAAATTTGATGTAAATGTAATGACAAGCTTAAAAAAACACTTGTACCTGGAGAAAATGAAGCTTATAAATTTATCCGTCCATGAAACTCCGTTTCCCAGCACTATTTGTCTTGAATATCTTTTCGCTGTTGCACAAAATGTACTTTACTATTTTACTGAATAATTTTATACCTGATTTGCACACAATCCTATCAATGCACTCTTCCACTTGAATTATTTTACCTAAATTGCGTTGCTTTCAACCGATATTTGATAATCAACACAGCAGGAAGGAAATAATTTTCAATATCTGTGAGACAGAGAGATCATGTTTCAATAGAGAATATTCTCATTTTATTGAGAAACATTTACTGAGATAGGTGCCTGAGATATTAAAAAACAAAAACCATTGAGTTTAGATGAAACCAAGTGTAAATTTACAAATTAATATAGAGACTTCGACTAAAAAAATATTCAATTCAATTTGTAAAGCACAAATATGAATATTGTCTCTGTTTCATATACTATAGATATTATATAAATATTAACATCATTTTCATCTTTGTATTTTCTTTGATGAACTCGCTAACTCGCTAATTTCCTTAATGAAAGAAGTTTGAACATTAAAAGTCATAGAGTACCAGTGTTTCACTTTGTTCACACTGACAACTTATCGGCATAGAATATTACAAGTACTCTATACAGTCACTTCTATTACTCATAACAATTAAAGTAGCAGAAATCAAGTCAAGTTTTACTACGTACACATAGAAACGTTTTACAATTAATTGACTAATTAATGAAGTACCAAATAATCGAATAGTTTGAAATAAGTCATACACCTTGATGATTGTTAGTATTTTCATATTATTCAAGTATCTTTGCTAAACAGAATAAAGGATAAATATGTGATTCATCATGAAGTACATACACATTGAATGCACAATTTATATTACACATTTATCATGTTCTGTCAAAAGTAAGTAAAGTTGAGTAGTACACTCCTCATCCATTTTACATCAAGTTGAGTTGATTAAACTAGCACATAATTAGTTAAATTAATAAACAAGAAAATAAATCATGTTCGTTCGTGTTCAATCAAAACACAAACATATGAACGAAATAAGTAATTACAAATAAAATAAAATAATTTAGATAATCTGTAAAACCCGTAGTTTATAAATAAATGAAATTTGTGAAATGATTCTGCTACACAACTGCTTACGAGTGATAGTTGTTTGCTTGCTAATATGTGGTTTAATCGACATGCTTTGAAAGATATATTATACAATAACCTAACATTTACTTACTTCTTACTTTCGCCTGTTACTCCCAATCGAGCATAGGCCGCTGACCAGCATTCTCCAACCCACTCTGTCCTGGGCCTTCTTTTCTAGTTCCATCCAATTCTTGTTCATTTTTCTCATGTCTATCTCCATTTCTCGGCGTAATGTGTTCTTTGGTCTTCCTCTTTTCCTTTGGCCTTCAGGATTCCATGTGAGGGCTTGTCTTGTGACGCAGTTCGGTGCTTTCCTCAATGTGTGTCCTATCCACTTCCAGCGCTTCTTCCTGATTTCTTCCTCCACTGGGATCTGGTTTGTTCTCTCCCACAGTACGTTGTTGCTAATAGTGTCCGGCCAATGGATCTGAAGTATTTTGCGTAGACAATTGTTAATAAACACCTGTATTTTCTGGATGATGGCTTTCGTGGTTCTCCAGGTTTCTGCCCCATATAGTAGAACTGTCTTGACATTTGTATTGAAAATCCTGACCTTGGTGTTGGCTGATAGTTGCTTTGAGTTCTAGATGTTCCTCAGTTGTATATATGCTGCTCTTGCTTTGCCAACCTAACATAGTTTAACTAAAATATACAAAAATTTGTTGGGGATGCATGTCACTAAAAAATTGATGACATCTGGATAATTAAAATCTCCCTTTTAACCAAAGATACATCTGATAAGCTTTCATAGATTAAATCATAAACTGATCTTAATTAAACCATCACTGGAAGTCTAGAAGCACTGGACGGCCGTTTCGTCATAGTATGGAACTTCTCAACAGTGCTGATCCATGAACTTGCATCAAAGAATCGAATCCAGGACTTTTGATCTCGCGAGTGACGCTTAACCTTTACACCACTGAGCTGCCAACCAGTGGTGTTGATGTTTGAATCCAACCAATTCACGATACTGAGCTATTCCCATAAACTTTTCTCTGTAGATATCTGTCTCACACCCGCCACTGGCGGACATAACTGATCATTGCTTCTCATAAGGACTCCATGGAATATACCTTGAAGCTAGTCAGCAGTGAGCATATAATCATTATTAGTATAGAGTGATTTTTAGGGTTTGTAAACATTTCATAGACAAAACCATGAACTGATCTTAGACCCTCATTACAGACCGCTCCTGATAAATTATAAAATTATCAAACATCTTATTGATAATTGTATCATCCGATTGCTTTTGAACATGTTTACTTCAGTAATATATGAATACAGTAATGATGAAAAGTCATTTCATTGGCTCTGATTCATTGCTTCCCGTGAATTTTAGTATGCGAAGTTTTATTGATATCAGTTGAGTGAATTGATAACATGGTGTTGAATAAAGCTAATTAAAAACCACTGAAATAAACACCAACTTCATCTTCACTTGCTGATGATTCATTTCTGAAACTGCAGATAAAAAAGAACCATTATTTTGAGTATGATCAACTTCTTGTTTGATTTCTTTGTATAAAATGGTTCATGGTCTCAATAGAAACTAAACAAACTCTACAACCCTCCACAACCCTATAATAATTAGGATGTGTTCACTAGTGACTGGCTTTGAGAGGTGATTCTCGGAATTACAATGAGAAGCCGTGACTAGTAGTTTTCAACTGTGTCAAATGTGAGGCGGTTACCCTCCGAAAACAATCGATGATGGTCGCGCAGTATTGTGGATTGGTTGAAGTTAGACATTAACACCGCTAGATCCTGACTCAGTGGTCTAGAGTTTAAACGTTCTAACGAGATCAGGGTTTCTACGTTTGGTCCTAAATGATGGGATCGTGGATTTTTACTTCTGAAAAGTACCGTACTAAGACGAAACGGCCGTCCAGTGCTTCCATGTCTTCAGCGGTGGTCTAATATAGATCGGATCATTATCTCGATGAAAACTCCACCATCTCTACAACCC